CCCCTCGTACATAGTTACGTCACACACGTTAAAAGATTTGTAAACCACAAGACTAACAATATTAAAGTTGTTTGTCCTCGAAACCATTAGAACCATATTTTAGTAGATTTCATTGAAACTGAAAAAAAACAACAACAACAAAAAACAAGAACTATACAGATCTGAAGGTATAATTTAGAATAGAAGAGACTTATTATTATTTTTTTCTATTTAATACATGTATTTGATCCTCGCCTGTAATTATCAATAAATATTATTGTAAATCTTTCAATCTTTACAGAAAATCTGATAGTGTCAGCTTCTCCTTCCTATGTGTATATGCCAACCAGCTGCTACAACTATACAACCGTGGAAAATGTTACTGTCATAGAAAGCACTACAGTGACTCAAAACGTCACAATAACAGATGAGGTCATACAAACTGTTAACGTCACATTCACTGTAAATTTTACTATGACGGAAAACGTCGCCATAACGGATTATGTATTAGTACAAGAAAACGTCACTAGGACAGAAAACGTCACAGTGACGCAATTTATCGAAAGGACAGAATACGTCACAGAAAACGCGGTTACAGCAATCGTGACTTCTTTTGCTCCCTTCACAGTTACTGTACACGTGCCTATTACTCCATTACCCACAGCATGTGATAGTCAAACCTCTTACATAAATACGTCAAATGCGCGTTATATAGAGGAGGCGATGGAGAATATTTCTAAAGCTTTATACGTAGACAAAAAGACGACTAATTCTTACATAAGAACAAAAATAAGTGCACAGGATAATCGACCGTCTTCAGTGACGATGGGATATGTAGGTATCGTGTGTGTGGTTGTGCCGTTTGTTCTAATTCTGTTGTCGGATTTGAAAACCATTTATGTTCATATGTCGGCCATATGCAGGAGCTACAATGAACCATCATCCCCGCCAGCATGACAACGAGCGCTGGATGGATTTGGACTTTAATTTTTTATTTATTAAATCTCTATGCTCACCCTTGCACAATTTCTAGAGACAAAGGCACCATGAAGCCGTGGCATGCAACATATCTCTCCATATTCCAAGATGGCTCTGATATCAAACCCTTTTTTTTGTATGCACAGGGAAGTGACAGAGTGTATGTCATACTAAAATAATCTAGAATTCTGTTGAACTTGCTGGTTTGGCAATTTTTTTTTATCGTCAGTCATCGTAAATCAGAGGCCACGGTTAGGTGGAGTATTACCCGTCGACATGGAAGGATCACTCCTCCATGGCACCTGATCTCACTTCTGATGTTTTAGACGTATGTGTTTTCTCTACACTTGATATGTCTTGTTTGAATGGACTTTTAAGCTTGAATACTGTTTGTTACCTCCTTATATAACACATTACAATCATCGGGCGTCATTAAAAAAATTGACATGAGAAGAGACCTCAATAAGTCATGTTTCAGTTTTTGGACTGTATATATCATAACATTTTTTTTTTTAAATTGATTGTTTATTACATTAAAATTTATCAATTTTGTCTGTCGTTGTCGTTGTTGGCGTTGTTGGCGTTGTTGGCGTTGTTGTCGTTGTTGTCGTTGTTGTCGTCGTCGTCGTAAACTTTTCACATTTTCATCTTCTTCTCAAGAACCACTGGGCCAATTTCAACCAAACTTGGCACAAAGTATCCTTGGGTGAAGGGGATTTAAGTTTGTTCAAATGAAGGGCCACGCCCTTTTCCAAGGGGAGATAATCATGAATTTATTAAAAATTAATGGCATTTTTAAAAAATCTTCTTCTCCAGAACCGCTGGGTCAGGAAAGATCAAACTCATGTGGAAGCATCCTCAGGTAGTGTAGATTCAAATTTGTTCAAATCATAACCCCCAGGGCAAGGGTGGGGCCAACGGGCGGAACTCGAAGTTTTACATAGGAATATAAAGGAAAAATGTTTAAAAATCTTCTTCTCAGAACCACTGGGCCAGGAAAAATGAAACTCATGTGGAATCATCCTCAGATAGTGTAGATTCAAGTTTGTTCAAATCATAGCCCCCTGTAGGGTGTGCTAAAATGGCCGACCCTAGTTTTACATAGGAATATATAGGGAAAATCTTTAAAAATCTTCTTCTCAAGAACCACTGGGCTAGGAAAAATGAACTCATGTGGAATCATCCTCAGGTAGTGTAGATTCAAGTTTTTTTGTTCAAATCATGACCCTTCGGGCAAGGGTGGGGCCAAAATGGCCGACCAAGTTTAACATAGGAATATATAAGAAAAATCTTCTTCTCAAGAACCACTGGGCCAGGAAAGATGAAACTCATGTGGAATCATCCTCAGGTAGTGTAGATTCAAGTTTGCTCAAATCATGACCCCGCAAAGGCGGGGTGAAAATGGCCGACCCTTGTTTTACATAGGAATATATAAGAAAAATCTTTAAAAATCTTCTTCTCCAGAACCACTGAGCCAGGAAAGATGACTCATGTGGAATCATCCTCAGGTAGTGTAGATTCAAGTTTGTTCAAATCATGACCCCTGGGGCAAGGGTTTGGCCAAAATGGCAGACCCAAGTTTTACATAGGGATATATAGAGAAACCTTTTAAAATCTTCTTTTCAAGTACTTCAAAGCTATGATTTGTGATATTTATATGCAATCATCCTCACGTAATGTAGATTCTAGTTTGTTCAAATGATGAACGCCTGGAAGGGGGAGGGGGGGTTAAATTCAAGCCCGATGTGCTCAGGTGAGCGCTGTGGCCCCTGGGCCTCTTGTTATTATTAGGTCACCTGAGTAACTCAGGTGACCTATTGCTATCCGTTTGTCCGTCGTCGTGTGTCGTGTGTCGTGCGTCGTGTGTTAACATTTGAACATTTTCAGCTTCTTCTCTGAAACCACTTAACCAATTTCAACCAAATTTGGTATACAGCATCTATGGGTGAAGGGGAACAAAAATTGTGAATTTCATGGTCCCTGCCCCCCTGGGGCCTGGGGGGTGGGGCAAAAACCACTTAAATTATTGCAATCTTTAAAACTTCTTTACTCCTGGACATCAAGCAGGCAAACTGTTGTTATGAAAGTAATGAGCATTGAGTCCTCTACCAAAATTGTGAAATTCATGGCCCCAGGGTCAGGGGTTCTAGTGCTAGGGCGGGGCTATATAGATTATATAGTGAAAATGCATTATTTCTTTGAAAATCTTCTTCTCTGCTCCTAGGTATTAAATAAACTAACCAAGCACATAGTTATGATGAGCAAGAGTGCCTCTTTCAAAATTGTGAATTTTATGACCCCAGGGTCAGGGGTTCTGGTGTTAGGGCGGGGCTCTATTGGTTATGTAGTGAAAATGCATAAATTATTTGAAAATCTTCTTCTCTACTTCTGGGTATTAAATAAACTAACTAAGCACATAGTTATGATGAGCAAGAGTGCCTATTTTAAAACTGTGAATTTTGTGACCCCAGGGTCAGGGGTTCTGGTGTTAGGGCGGGGCTCTATTGGTTATATAGTGAAAGTGCATTTTTTCTTTGAAAATCTTCTTCTCTACTTCTGAGTATCAAATAAACTAACTAAGTACTTAGTTATGTAGTAGAGTGCCTCTTCCAAAATTGTGAATTTTGTGGCCCCAGGGTCAGGGGTTCTGGTGTTAGGGTGGGGCCCTATTGATTATATAGTGAAAATGCATTTATTCTTTGGAAATCTTCTTCTCTGCTCCTGGGTATTAAATAAACTAACCAAGCACATAGTTATGATGAGCAAGAGTGCCTCTTTCAAAATTGTGAATTTTGTGACCCCAGGGTCAGGGGATTTGGTGTTAGGGCGGGGCTCTATTGATCATATAGTGAAAATGCATAAATTCTTTGAAAGTCTTCTTCTCTGCTTCTGGGTATTAGATAAACTATGTAATTAAATAGTTATGTTGATCAAGAGTGCCTCTTTCAAAATTGTGAATTTTATGACCCCAGGGTCAGGGGTTCTGGTGTTAGGGCGGGGCTCTATTGGTTATATATATAAAAATGTTACAGTATTCTTATGTGTAGAAGAAGGCAAACATAAAAGAGATACATGTACATCAATTAAAAATTATTTTACGCTGTTTATTTTTTTAAAATTTTTTACAAGATAATTAGTATTATATTGAAATATATACTACACATTTACCACGATTTATGTATCCATTTAAGTCATAAAATTTTGGCGAAATATTTTTTTGGTTTTATGAATAAATGTAGTTATATTGTGTAGATACCCAAAGATATTTCCCTACAAGTGGTTGCAAATAAAATATCATGAAGTCAGTATAGTTTTTATATTCCAATGTGTTCAAAAAGGATCAACGTATTAATGGAATAGTTTCCTATGGTGAGATATTTTTAACTAAATACATTTATCATCGTACATCACAAGAAACATATCAAGGACCAACTATGCAATGAGGAAAATGTAATAGGAATTAACTTAGAGAAAATTATATAGAGTTTACATGTGCAAATTAAAATATTAATATTCCCCAGTAATTTTTAACAAAGTCCTCTTCTGAATGCAAATTTTCATACATTTTCATAAAAGATCACAATATGTTATCATTATACAAGTATCATATGATAGGATTGCAGCATGTTACCATATTGTGGTTTATCACGCTATTTGTTCGTTTAATATATAAAAGATATAATCAAGAGAAAAGCAGCATCTTCTACTGATGTTGAAAAAGCGAAGGCATTAACACAGGTGAGAAATTAAAATTTTGGCGTATTATTTTATTGATACATGGAATACATAAAGGATAATCTAGTTTATAATAAAAATATAGTGTGCATATTAATCTTCAGAAGTTTACAATAAAATTAATGTTTCAAAACAACATAGATATTTTTATACTTTGTCTATAAAAAGAAAATGCATTTCAGTCCCAAATGGTTCCTCATCAAATTAGACCAGAAATGGCTTACGGACCTTCTTGTATTTTTACAACATTAATATAAAGAGCAATAATATCATTTTTTTCCTTATCCTTTATCTTCTTACGTTAAAGCATGCAGATCCTAGTATTAGTTGTTGGATTAAGTGCGATCCTTGGCAACATAACTACTGAGAAGGTATCACCACGACCAGGTCTAAAATCCTTCAGAGATGACTATGACAGCATAGCCAAAACATGTGTAGCTGTTGGATATGTCAAAGAAAACTGCAAAAATAACCGAGATAGAAGTAAGAAATTTACGGTGGTATATTTAGGACACGCAATTATTTTTTTTAAATACCATAAAAAAATTATCTTGTGAAAACGACATAATTATCTTGTGAAAACGACATAATTATCTTGTGAAAACGACATAATTATCTTGTGAAAACGAGATATTATCTTGTGAAAACGAGATAATATCCTGTGAAAACGAGATATTATCTTGTGAAAACGACTTATTATCTTGTGAAAACGACTTATTATCTTGTGAAAACGAGATAATATCTTGTGAAAACGACATAATATCTTGTGAAAACGACATATTATCTTGTGAAAACGACTTGTAATATTATGTCGTTTTCACAAGATAATATGTCGTTTTCACAAGATATTATATCGTTTTCACAAGATAATATGTCGTTTTCACAAGATAATAAGTCGTTTTCACAAGATAATAAGTCGTTTGCACAAGATATTATCTCGTTTTCACAAGATATTATCTCGATTTCACAAGATATTATCTCGCTTTCACAAGATAATATCTCGTTTTCACAAGATAATATCTCGTTTTCACAAGATAATATCTCGTTTTCACAAGATAATATCTCGTTTTCACAAGATAATATCTCGTTTTCACAAGATATTATCTCGTTTTCACAAGATAATATCTCGTTTTCACAAGATAATATCTCGTTTTCACAAGATAATATCTCGTTTTCACAAGATATTATCTCGTTTTCACAAGATAATAGCTCGTTTTCACAAGATAATATCTCGTTTTCACAAGATAATATCTCGTTTTCACAAGATATTTTATGTCGTTTTCACAAGATAATTTTTTTCTTATAATTAAAAAAAAATATTTGCGTGTCCTTAATATACCACCGTAGAAATTGGTTAAATCGTGGGATATCTTTGTTTTGTACATTTAATACATGCATTAAGGAAAAGAATTAGCTGACTAGGATTTTTTTTTCAATATATCTTCGTAGGAAACATGGTCATTGCATTTAATGCTAAAGCCAAAGGAGGTGTCCAGTCCGTAAGTAGTGGAAGCATTGTCATGTTTGGAAACGTTGATTTGAATATAGGAGGAGGTTTCAACGCAATTAAAGGGATTTTTACCGCCCCCAAATCGGGTGTTTACGTCTTTGACTGGACAGTATTGACGGGGCACAGTAAAACCGCCTACACTGCTCTTTATTTAAATGGTAAATTAAAGATGCAAAGCTATTGTCATAATAATAATCATGGTATCTATATGGCGTGCAGTAAAATGGCTGTGGTAAAATTGGAAACAGGAGACAAGGCTTCCATTAAATGTTTTTCTGGAACAGCATCTGTAGAAAACACATATTCTTCTTTCTCTGGTTTCATGTTATAATTAAAGATAAATAAAGATTAAAAAGTACCATATATCATCTTGTCAGTTTACTTTTGCAAGTAGCACTGTTGTTACAGTAAATGGCTGACTTTCACATTTAAAACTTTATCATAATTGATTATTAAGAAAACCTTCCTAAGTGGTCAAGAGGTAGTGCCCTGACAAAATGTTGTTACAATGCACATGATGTAGGGGCACTAAATGTAACATGTGAAGGGCGGGAGTTGAAGAATGGGTGGTTGTCGTTTTCGTTAACAACAACTGATTTGTGCTTTGAAATAATCCGTTATTTTAGTTTCATTAAATGTTGAGCTAAATATTTATATCGTAAAAGAGATTCCGTACATTGTTCTAGTCTAAAAGTAAGCTGTCAGCTGTACAGTCCTACTAATGTGTTCAGAACCTTTTCTTTTTCGTTGTTCTGCAAATTATAAAACCCGATGAGTTCAGAGTAGCTCTGACAGTGGCTCTGGCGGAGGCAAGACTTCAGCGAGATATGGTAAATTATTTACAGAAATGTGGCTAGGAAGTGACTAGCCGTGGAGACATGGTATTAACAGAAAAGTTATGTTGCCGTTTAGTTTTCACCACCCTATAATATCATTCTGTAGAAATGTACTTCAAATAGATCTCTCTTGAATTCATTCAAGTTTTAATTATAAGTATTCTCTATGATACAATTTTCTGCTGTAATTAAATTTCTTTTTGGAAAAATATATTCTGAAAGGGGACTATTTTTTTTGGAGTCAGATTAGCAAATGAGGCACCAATGTGACTTTAACTACAAATCAGCTGCGTAAATCGCGTTGGGATACAACGAATACTACGGGAAATTTTTACACTTGATAAATTCCTTTATCGTACTATTGGTGAATACAATTGTCAGGTAATTCCCTGACCAACACACGTGATCACGAGTATAGTTATGTAAAAAATGTTTTGTCCATTTACAATGAAGCGCATTGAAGTAGTAAAATTTTCGTTTTGGATGAAACCTTCTGAGTCATATTTTTAACGTCAATTATTACAGAATGGCACGCCCATTTCTTTAGAAACGAACAAGAAATATTCGATGTAATGTTAAAGGCTTCGTCAAAGGCCAACATGTCCAAAAATTTATTTTTACCATAGCCCCAAAACTATGTGAGATATAAAGTTAAAACTTTTACAGTTTATAAATTTTTCATTGATTAACAGATAGAAAGTATCACTTGATATAAAAAAATACTTGGAAAAAAATATTTATTGAAAAAATTTTTTTCTTAAAAATGCATATATTTTTAAAAAATACACGAATTAATTCCGTCTCTAGTGAAATCATCATTGCAGAAACAAAATATGATTGTATGATAAAATGATTTTTTCCATAGATTCTAAGGATTGCATTTGTTCATAAGAATTTTTTTTTATTTTGCACATTGACATGATCATAGATTAACCTGGACCACTTTTCGAAGTACCATGTAAACATTTTTGGCGTAAACGTATTCAATCAACACTTGGTCAATTCAACACTTGGTCAATTGCTCGTGGTACATGTAAGATCCTCTGTGCGCATTAATAGCAATAGCCATATAAGGCAAACACAGGTTTGTCATTGTAGAAAATAATTACACATTTTGTTTTACCGGCGTATCGGTCGCTATTGAGCTGTCATTTTGGCAGAAAAAAGGATAAGATTTACTAATTTTTATTTCCCCCCCCCCCTTTAGCCACCCATTTTGTGTTGAAAGTCATGAAAGTGCAGAAAGGTCTGAAACACTTTTTTCACAGGACTTGTTTACTGAAATTTTATTCATAAAACCGGTTCTACCCTTAACGTTTGAATAGGTAAACCAAAACCACATGTCTCGAATTTAAATCACAATGGTGGGGTATGTAAAACTGGCAGGTTTTTAAAATGATCTTTAAAAAAATAAGATTGTTTTTGTCATATTATGGGCTATGTAGTTTAAGAGGTTACAACAGAATATTCTATTTTTTCTGCGCATTGAACTTGAACAAAAACAAACATATAAAATAACATTTGTTACATTATTATCCAGCAGGCATGTTAACGAAATTTTCCCAAAAATTTTCATAAGAAATTTCTTAAGATGTATTTTAAGAAAATCTTAGGACCATCGTAAGATTATCTTTAGGTGTTTCAAAGCTATTTATGATTATCCTAACTAATGCGTCTTAAATCATAATGACATAGACATACTCCAAGCTTTACACGATTGTCAGGGATCAGAGAGTTGTAAATTTTTGCTGTATAATTGTATACTTATGTCATCATAAAAAAAATATTTAAAAGAGTGAACTAAAAAAAGAAATTTCTTTTTTTTTAAATTTTATAAATATAATTTATATATTTTTAATTATCTTAAATCATCTAAATTCGACGATAGCTGTAATATTTGTTGCATTTTGAATCAAATTAGTGCCATTTGATCATTCAGAATTCTTGAACGATGAAAAGCGCCCAATTTCAGTGAAATGGAAGGCAGCGAAAAATCATCCATTGAAAATGTTCCTTAAAAGATCGCCACTCCCCCTTTTTGGGCAGTAAAGTTAAATAAGCCTAGGGTAATGTAGAAGTGTATGAGTAAAATCTCCAGCATGATATATGATTTTCGCACAGGCACCTGACGTTACTTTTTTTTTTTTTGAAAAAAAAAATATACCCCTACCTAAAAATAAATTATTATTAGGTGGGGTTATATTTTTCATGTAAAGAAAAATAAGTAACGTCGGTGTGGATTTGGAGTTAGAAATTTTGGGGTTCTTTTACGCTTGTCAATTTTTTTTTATGTAAGTTAAATTTTTTTTTATGTAAGTTGGATTCTTTTTCTACACCTCCCTTTCAAATTCAATGCTACATCCCTGTCATGTGTAAATGCAGTACATGTATAACTGTGTAATAGTTCAGCATCTGTAGAAACCACCTGCAGGCATGTTCATGAAGCTATTTAGGACTACGGAGTGTCCAAAGAAAGTCTTAGGAAATGTCCTTGGCTAGTCTTAAGTCAGTTTCTCGAAGCGTTCCTAAATTTAAGAGCTTTCCTAAGTTTTTCCTAACTTTAGGACAACATAACACCTGTCCAAAGATCATCCTAAGTTTGCTTTGATGCTTTTAAATTTGGACATTGCAAGTATAAGCGACAATTTCTTGTTTCTCAGCAGTCTGTGTATGAGCTGATGATTTACACAAATAATTAAACAAGAAATGTTACATGTACCCATAGGCCTCTTTTCATATATGTTATAAATTTCGCATGTGCTGTTTCGAAAATTACCTAATAAAAATTTAGGATATTTTGTATAATGAATATTTTCGGAATTTTTGGGAAAATAGTAAAACGCTCCTCGGGCATAAAGTGTGAGGGGGGGGGACTTTTTTATCAGTCGATCTGCTCATTGCATATCAAATACAAAGAAAAGGAAGATAAACAAGATTATCATAATGAGGGTAATGTTTGAATGGAAAAAAGGGTTATGAAAGAAGTTGAAACCTAGACCCCGCCCCCCCTTCTCTCTCTCTCGCCGAAATAGGATTTCCAAGTTAGGATAATATTCTTTTCCTTTTTTGATTATCAAGTTTTCTCAGGTAAATTAAATTTCCCCCCCCCCCCCCCACTTCATGACCGTTGTTATCATATGTCACTGTCAAAATACATTTATCACAAACGTTATATTATGACCCCACCCCCCCCCTTTTTATGTTTAAAATGTCATAATACATTGTATGAATATAAAAACAAATACCCCTCTTTCATATGCTAATGATTGGTCTATAGATACAGATACAGTACAAATTATGGTCATTCTAACATGACTTTTTTGCGATATACATATTGTCTTTTATCAAAACTTCCATCATAGATTAATACCAATAAACTTGTCCTCCGAAAATAAGGAGGGGCCAGTCCTCCACCCCCTACTCTCGATCTGCTAGCATACTACTTGCTACTATGAGACAAAAAAACAATCAACCTGTTCTGATTTTTTAATACTGTATACGGGGAAAATTTTTCCCCCCATTTAATTTTTTTCCCCCCTCTTTAAAGGTGGCGAATTTAAAAGGGGCAAATTCAAAGTGACAAAATAATATTTTAAACAAAAATTTAAAACTGGGCAAACTTGTTTCCGAATATGAAAGGGCGAAAATAACACGGGGCGAAAATAACCATGTACGAGGGCTGTTCAAAAATTACGCGGACTGTGCTATTATTTACTCTTAAAGACGTCATATGTTATGAAATTTCACAGAAATATGTATCTTAAAGATTCCAAAAAATTTTGAGCAAAAAATTTTCTATTTTAAAAACTTTTTACTTAAATTATCGGAATGTTGATATCGCTATGGGGGAGTACGGAGCAAGACAAAAAATCTAAAGCAAAAGCATGCGGAATCCAAAATTTAACTCATTTATTTTCTATAATTCGCAACATTTTTCGACAATTTTTAAAATTTTTAAATTGTTCTGTTATTATGTATTTAGATTTCTAGTAATTTGAAGTATAAAAGAAATATAGTGATTTTTCTCTGATGCGATTTCCGTGAAAACGACTGTGAAAATGACTCTCCTGAATGTACGGCGCACCACAGTTTTTTAAATTATGTATAATACTCGAGATATCGCCAACATAGATTCAAAATATGCATTATAAAACATGTAGTAAACTAGGGTATTGTGACATTCGTCCACAAATACCAATTTGATATTTTAGACTGTTAGACCTCTGGAAAAAGGCTATACCTGAGAACGGGAAGAAGTTTTTTGACGAAAACTTTATCCGGACTGTAAAGAACATGATTGAGAGTCACTAATATTACAATAT